TCGCCGTATCATACCACTAAATATCTCGATTTTATGAATGAGCGTTTCGGGCAGACTGGTGGGGCCTAAAGTCAATACAACCTAAACTGCAACTAGAATTCTTGGCTCTTTTATACAAAGCCCCCGCCAACGCTCAAAATAAATATTTATTCAGTTAGGGTTAGGATTTCAATGGATAATTCGAATTTTTAAATCATTCTCAACCCTAACTGGATAATCACTAATTTGTTATTTACAAACTTGGCGGGGGTGTTTTTCTCAAATCTCACATTTTTGCATTATGGGCGAGGGCTTTGTACAAAAGATCCGAGTTCTTCCACGAATTGGAAATTTATTCCCATGCGTGAAACTGGCATTTTATTAATGTTCTTCATAATTGTATTGAAATGTTATTTTACTCGCATACAGTTTGAACCCCGTGCACTAAATTTCTGCTGAAACACATGGCACTGCGCTGCAAATTGTTACAAACACATGGCCTTACTCTCAAAAGTTGGCGCCCTTTTTCCCAGAAAGCTTCCCGCCATTAACCACGGGTCATATTTCGGAAATGTCTTGCCTGACGGGACTTTGTTTGAGCATTCAACGAATGCCGCATGTTCGTGCGATACGATTGAATAAGTGTATCCACCTCATATAAATTCCAGACAAAAACACGGCATGTATTAAAAAGCTACATCTCGTATGTGAGCTTGTGCATACATCATATTTATACTATTACTTGTTTCTAACAGCTCTTGTTTCAACGAAATCATTCAAAGGTTTTGAATGCGAAACGTGAAACTATATAGGTTGATGACTAATATCACTCCATTACCAAGTATAATACGTACCCAAAGATTTGGCTATTCATATTGGCTTGCTTCAAAACATGTCAAAAAATCACTTAAACCTATGTACTGATATTTCAACACTGTGACATATTTACAAATGTGTGGTGTAGAAGTTCTCCCCTTTTCAAAAATCCACAAATGTGACAAGATCCGAATTTGAATTTGGCCAATTGAATATTGGTTTTAAATGCCACAGTTACTCTTTATGTCACATTATCAACGAAAGTAAAAAGTCTGCAAGCAAGGTACCGAGCCAAAAATGGAAGCAGTACAGATGAAAGAATTGCAGGCGTCTATTAACGAGCTGAGAGTTTTACTCCTGTGAAAGGGATGTCAGTGAATATCGCTTGACACGAGGCTCCAAACATTTGGAGATTCCACTGTCGGGGAAACAGCTCGAAAGGCACAGAGATTTTCGAGACTTTAGTGGAGAATTTCTCGGCGACAATTTTAAAAGCTGGCAAAGAATTGTTGTGCAATTGTAGTGCCAGCAATGAACGATATAACGCTTCTAAGAATTCGAAACCGTTCGAGTTATCTGAAATGTAAGTTTTCCGACTCAAGTATTTGAGTGACGTGGCAAAAATTATGGGTAAAAAGATGAAAGGACGGACTTAAAGATAAAGACCTTTACTCAAAGAATGTTTGGTTATTTTAGAAATCTCAAAATTCCGCTATCCTCTCCCATAACGCGATGGTTACACTAAGCGTCAATCGTCGACGATGCGCGCACACACGCATACCCGTTTTAAATAAGTGTTGCCCTTTAAATATTTTGCTAATCAAAGCATGGTCATTCTTATGTCTCTGATGAGCCGAAAACTTTTTCATGACAAACTACTATGTAAAATTTGTTTGCAGTTCAGCAACTGGAACCAGCTGTCTTTTAATATAATGTTGTTTAGGTTTATATTTGTGGAAAACACTGTCAGCTGATCTGAGATTGCTCGACCGCCCAAGGTGTTTACTTAACCAGCATTTAGAATCTGCAAAAGCGGAACGTGAAATATAAACTGGCTTGGATAGGTCGTCAAGAACCGGAACCGAGAAATAACTAAGCGATGACGCAAAGTAGTACTGCGATAGCAGCAAGATGGCTTGTCCTATCTACCATTTATGCATGTATATCCTAATGCTCTAAGAATGCAATGCGTCTTTTACGACTTGAATATTCTTCCTCAATCATGAGTTAGTGCTGATTGAATGTGGCTACCCCACAATTCGACGTATATTATGTGGGCGATTAAAGTAAATCTACCAGATACCGCATAATAAAAAGAATTTTTACGACTATGAAAATAGATTCTCGACTTGCTGTGTTTGAATGCATCATATATTATGACGTTCCGTGTTCATTTGCATTTTCCAATCTACTCCCCCTAGCAGCCAGTGCGGGTGAATCAAACACCGATTTTTGATAAACATATCAATTTTTGATCAACAAGTCGAAGTAAACAATATATTGTTTTTTCATCACTTTTATCGTTTGGTAAGTGTATGTCGAAACCAAAATATGACACCAACGAAGGTATTATCAGCTAATGTTACTGGTAACACAGCTCACAAAATCTGACTCGTGTGATATATATGTTACGATCTCACTTTGGTAAGTGACCTCCATAGCATACCGAAGTGATAAAAATTGTGGTGCACATTTGTAGAAACACATTTTTCTTGTTCTGTGATTTGAATGATAGAGTAAACTATCAGATTTTGGAGGTAATATTTTATTTCATTCGGGATATACAATAAAAGATATGGTTCATATACTGACTGCGTCGTGAAACTAAAATGATCTGTGATTGGTTCAATTTTTGTCGTGAAATATACTCACAAATAGTTACCGTGACAAATCGTGGAAAACCGGTTGGCACTGTAGAAGAGCCAGTTCAAATAGAACAAGCATTGGCGGTCCATGGGTATTTGAACTAAAAAACGAGGATGAATGCAGATATTTTTATGTAGAGAAAGGGAATACCATAATTCAGTGAGAAGTGGAGGAAAATTCAATCATTCATTCGGATGAATGTCCTTCATACTCAAACTTAATTCACTTGAATTACAATCATCGTACAGTTAATTTCCAAGTAAATAATGTGAACTCAGCTAGCGGATCTTATATAATCTACATATGAAGAGGTCATGGTTAGATCCCGAAAATGGAATACTAAAAAAAATTGGGAGACGTACCTACAAATACCTTCCAATCTCATCTGGATTATTTCTGCTGGCGAAAAATGAGAAAATCGTTGATATTTTTCTCGCTTTTTTATCTGATATTGTTCCAATTAATTAATAAAATATCGATATGAAATATTAAAATATATATATGTATTGAGGTCACATACCCAATTAAAATATAAAATCACACTGATCACATACCGAAGGTACAACATATATGACAATATGCATCGTGATCCAATTTGCCTGCATTGGTTATAAATTTAAAAAGTACGAATATGGGCGCGAAAATATAAACATTGTGCAGAATCGGTTGTTTAATTGAGATTTTCCATGAGGTTTGGTTAGAAAGAATAATAAAAACTACCCTTTTCAAGAAAAACGCGTAACGACCTTTCATCAATCGTACTTTTCCCATACACAAAACTTTCGTAGCCCGGCAAAAATTTGGGAGTTGCCTATTCGCGCATCGGTTAATTCGTAAAATTTAAAAGACATTGTAGGAATTCTTTCACCTTTCACACAAATTCCCTACTCATCATATTGAGACTGTAACTAAGCATGGTCAAATTTAAGCGCACGTGTTTTGTTATCTCGACAACAAGAGGGTGACAGGGCGTGGTGTCGCAACAAGGGCTTATAAGTGAATGGTGATTGCAACGAAATTATGTTTGAAATTTTCTTATTGTTGATGAAACGATCTTCGTCATATATTTTCCGGTAAATATTTATTTTAATGCATTTAGCGTACATTTTCGCCACCAGGAATTTGGTACCTTTCCATTTCCTTCTGTTTCATCGTCAAACTTTGGATCGGAATAATCTTAAAGAAACATTAGTTTCAGAATTTAAAACCAGTGCTTACTTTTGAGTTGAAAATATGGCCATTTGTATGTTTCAGATTTTCGGATCATTTTAATTTAAGATCACTCCGTTTTTAATCATGGCAGTTACACCTGTGTGCCACCGATATAACAGGCTACTCTTATTGCTACTCTCTACCTCCGTTACTGGAAATATCTGACTGCGGTTAGTTGGAAACATTTTTCTATTGAGGAAAGCAATTTCTGTGGTTGGGTGTTGTGAACATTTTGAAGCAAAAGAGTTTCTTGTGTATATAGCATCGGAAGCGGAAGGTTTCTATTTTAGATGTCGCTTTTACTGTTGACGTTTTGTCAGCCTCATTGCACCTCAGCCGATTCTCCGAAATTATTTTGTACTCTCATCTAAAGAGAACTTTTTGAGCAACTATTAGGTTTTCTACAACATCCCGTGTCACTCTTTCTGAGCGCGCTCTTACCTTCTATTCCACGATTTGTAGTTACGTATAACTATTACAATATCTACTTTGATTTTTTACGTAGCCGTTGACTTTTTGAGGAGACCAATGTCCGGGAGAACATCCATAAAAGTAAAGGCTTAATTTTCGTTAATTATGCTTAAGCCTCCTCAGACTGTAAAAACGATGTCGGATGTTGGCAGCGACAGGCATGTGATTGTGATATAAAGCCATTTATCCAACTATGAGTATCCCACAGAACAGCGGTTTCCAAATGGGCACCGCAGTGATTTGCTGAGAACAAAATGAAAACTAAAACAAGAACAAATCGATAAAACGACTCTCATGATCATGATGTATTTCTGAAGTTATAAAATGAACGGCGGTAGTACTTTTCATCTACGAGCTTTGTTTACAACTTGACAACCCTCGCTGCAGCATACTGTCGCGATATATAACAATCGTTTTCAGCAATACAAGAGCAAATCGCAGTCCCCCCAATGTAAGTATTGTCATGTAATGTATCTCTCGCGAGAGCAGAGTGTTTCTTATGCTGTGAGTTGCGACAGTCGACCACCTATAAATAATTGATACTTTGGAAATTAAGGTCACCACCTATAAATCCCATTCTGGATGAGCATTTCAGGACGATCGATAAGCAAATAATAATAACCAGCAGCCCAAGCTGCGAAAAAAAAACTCGAGTATTACATACTGAGAACGGGAAAAGTTCAATATATATATATGACAACGATTCGACGGATCGGATGTTTCTTCGAACCTTGAATACAGAAACCTTGACTACTCGTTTGAATGAACGAGGAATGATAATGAACGAGGCTAACGTTACTATTAGGTTGTGTATTATGAACCAAACAAATTGGCTTTGTATTTTAAAAAGCTTGTATCCAGCCCAGGGGGCCTAGGGAGGAGCTGACGTTTTCAGCAACTACATTTTTTCTGCGCTGCTCGATGGTCTAGTTTCCTTCTCATAAAATTTTACAAGAAATAAACAAGACACACGTTTTGGGGCAAGTTCATAGATATTTTTCAAAAGTTAGCTGATATTGAGAGGCGTGTAGGTCTGCGTGTTTTCTGCATTAGCAATGATAATACATATTAAAAATATTGCAGCTAATTTTTTCAACTGTTCGATGGAAATTGTAGTATTTTCAAATCGCAGAGCGAAATCGGTAAAATGCAGACGGTGTGTAAAAAAGCTTTACAAAATTGAGCGCTAAAAAACACATAAAAAACAAATTAATCGTAATCCCAGAAATCTTGTCTCTAAAACAAACAGAGAGAAATTACACATCCATCCAAACAACATTAATTTCTATCTCCAATACTCAATTTTGGTATGCCAATCCCGGAAGCAAGTCTTGCCATAAGTCATACAAAGATGAACTCCGCATTCGAGGCATTTCACCCGACTCCTCGAAACATACGTCTTCTCTTCTGAATTTTTCAACTTGTTCTTTCTCGAACATACAGGGCAGACCACCTGATTTCGTTCGACTAATGGAATATGTTGTCCTACATTCATGAGTCTAGGATGATGGGATGAACTAGATAGCGATTCAGATATTCTCCGTGATGCTCTATAGCTACCAATAAGAGCGGCGACAAGCTCTTCCCTAAATCCAACAGCACTACATCGCTTCCCTGACAAGTTCTCACATATGACTCTTGCGTTGTGAATCGCAACTTCAAGTAAATACGAAAACACACGCCTGTACCATATCTTCGATCGTCTCGTCAAGTTGTAATATTTTCGCATTTGATCCGAAAGATCCACGCCCCCCATATGAGCGTTGTAATCTTTAAGTAAAGGTGGACACGGTATTTCTACAAATCTAGATTCTCTTCTTCGCCCAGCTCTTCTTTTTACGGTCTTTCTTCCCACGTACTCTTTATCATATTCGGGTTTGTGAATTGTAGAAAGAAAGTATACCACCTTATTATCCACCCAGGATTGTGCTAATAATTGCCCCGAAACCCTCCAGTCGTTAGTGCCCCTCGGAACTGAACCAATTTTTGATATGGTTAACTTTGTCGGAAAGTTTGTGCGATTGGTTCTGTAAGTTCCACAAGCGTATACACCTTTCGATAGGAGGTATTCGAAGAGTTCAGGGTTAGTGTAAAAATTGTCAACATAAAGGTGATGGTATAAACCTTGGTAAGGCTCTATCAGATACCTTACGACACGTGAAGATAATCCGATTTCCGGTTTTGACGTTGGATCCTTACCAGTGTAAAATTGCAATCTCGACACATATCCAGTTGCGGACTCGGCTAATACCCAAACCTTGATTCCAAAACGTGCCCTCTTAGTTTTTATACATTGTCGAAAACTAATTCGGCCCTTGAATGGAATTAGGGTTTCATCGATAGAGATTTCTCTTCCTGGTGTGTAACATGTTTGAAATAAAGGCAATAGAATTGTCAACAAAGCGCGAATTTTGTATAACTTGTCTTTCTTGAAGTCTTCCGCTTCTGGCGCCATAGCTTCGTCGCAAAAATGCAAATAACGCCAAATGTCTCGAAATCGCTGTCTTGTCATTGTTTTATTGAAACTTGGCACGTCTAGAATCCAATTTTTCTTCTGCCAGTACATATCGAGTGTTGGAAGACGTATGATTCCCATAAGAATGACCAATCCAAGAAAAGCATGCATTTCCTCTGCATCAATAGCCTTCCAGGCCTTCTCTTCAGTGTCGCTATTGACGGACTCCGCTGTGAAATAGTTGTGTAAATATTGATGAAAACTATTGCTATAGATTAGTGTTTCCCAACCCGAGTCCGCGGTCTCAAATGAGTCCGCAGAGCGTTTAAATGAGTCCGCAACGAGTCAGAAATTCACTGCGAGCCGCAAACGTTTTTGCGAAACCTAATTAACTGTTAGCCAAGTTAGGATTTGCGAGAGAATTTACAAAAAAAAAAAAACAAGAGTCAGTTTATTCACATGACATTAATCGCGTCAATAATTACTGGTTACTGAGTAGGGCTGGGCTTATATTCTAATATTCAACTATTAGAATAGAACATTTACTAATCGAAAATTTGTTAACACGTGACGCGACAGGTCACTTGCGAGTCGCTTAATCAAACGATTGGATTTCACAACTCACTTGTGGATTTCCAACGAAAACAAGAGTCTGTACACGCTTCGATAGATTCGTAATAGGTGTTTCTCGCGAGTTCGAACAACGAGGAATTATTTTTCTGGTAGGTGTAAATGGTCGCTACCCAAATTTTCTAAATTGAAAAGCGCTCCGCGACCGATTAAAAACGCTTTTTTAGACATTGCAAATCGCAAAATTTCGGATGCTACCGTACTATACGTACCAGGGCATTTTTCTTTAGGATTATCTTCTTTACTGCCCCCACATTAGTCATGTCGCCCAGTAAGTACGCACAGTAGTAATGTCGAATTCACACAGATTTGTCGAATCCACAAAAATACGAATCAAAACAAGATATATTCGAGCACTTTACCACGCATTTTTGCGTCTTCGGATTGTCATAGTATTTTCTGAGTAGTATTGCTCTTATTTCGTCAGCACAACCGCAGATTAAAGAATCACACATGTGGATGGATTGAATATTTTATGCAACAGAAAAAATCAAGGAAAAGTCGGCTCTTTTAACGGGTGACGTATACGCGACGATTACTTCAGAAGTTGTTCGCAAGAATTTCAATGCTATGAATATGTATTTTCGATTTACTAATATATATACCTTATATATATTATTAATAAATACTAAATTAAGTTGTACATTCTGGAAATTTATAGCAGATAGTATGATTTTTTCTAACAGCGATAACAAATTCACAAGATCGCAAAAAATATGTATCAAAGCTTATTATAATCAGGCAATATATTCTCTCATTATTATGTTCGCAGATGGCAGTGGAATTTTTAAAAAGTAATGCTTTCATCTTGTCGTAAGTCGACGCAACCGCGATGAACACAATTAAATTAAAATAGAAAGACATTTTAAATTCTCGTCGTTGTCATGGATTGAATATTGTGCGACAGAATAGTCCAATATACACCAAAAAAGTCGTCTCTTTTAACGAACGCGTAATTGCGGCGAATTTCCGATTTTGACATCCGTTAAATTTCTGTTGTGTTTGGTTTTATTGCTTCTTTACACAGAGTACGGTTGCAATAAACGCACCTTAAGTCAGCAAAGGTTTTAGCCGGTGAGAAAATAGTCCGCGGCCAAAAAAGGTTGGGAAACGCTACTATAGATGCTAATATATTATTTCAATTCTACAGAAAAGTCTAATTAGATACTCACCATGCAGTTTTCGAGTGGCATTGAGATTAGTCATCTCAACAATGAGCTCAATAACAGTTGCATTAAAGAATTGGGTGAAACAGTCAAGCACACTCGAACTGCTATTCAGGCGGCGACTCGAAACCCCTCGTCTACCACAGAAATTCCAAAGTGATCTTCCGGCAAACGATTTTTCCCAATTGTAAGTTTTCCGAGACTTTGGAGTTGACGGGCGATACCGTTTCCTGCTTTTCGGCGTTGTGGGAGTTTCTTGGCTTTCATGCGAAGTTCTACGCCTACGAATTGGTGGCGGTGAGGTACTTGTTGTTGTTGTTGTGTTGGGGCTCCCTAAAAAGTTAAGCAGACTGTTTAGAGGTATTTTAGTAGTTTAGTGTAAATGTGTTTTGTATCTCATAAAATATAAGACTCAATGTAATATTCCAAAAAGTTACCGCTGCTCGATAATGAGTGCCGCTGCTCGATAACCAAATTGGGTTTCTCCGGCTCCTCTCATCCTGAAATGCTTTTTAACTATTTGTCGCAATTTGTACATCAAGTGTGCTTTTGGTATGGTGAGAAAATAAACTACTGATTACGAAAATGATACATACATTTCGAGTCCTGCTCGTCGTCAGTTCCAGACCAAGATGATTCGTCTTCGTCAGAAATATCAGACCCATCAAAATCGTCATAGTCAGAATCACTGTCCGGTATGAATTCTTCATTTTCAATCTCCCATAACACGTCTTGATTATTCAAAACTGTATCCTGTTGAACCGCCATATTAACCTATTCGAGCTTTTCCCTAGTAAATATAAGCGTTACGATAAATAGGACAAGACCGTCACTTATCGGCGTTATTCACATAACTGACTTTTTGTAATGCTAATTCTCCTTTTCTCTCTTTCTCATTTTCTTTCACGCCACTCTCTCGAAAATTGAGATGTTAACCCGTTTTCACCAGCACTTGACACGAATGCAAACAATTTCCCGCCAGTTCGAAAGGCGACAGAAGTGTTAAAAACCGGATGTCCATAGTGACCGAACGCTCTTTTAGCAAACGATACGGTATGCAGTAACTTCACTGCGAAACCAAAAGTTTAATTCTTGGTATTTTCTCTTCACCGTATCGTTACGAGGATTTTAATACGACTCACTACTAATTTCTCACTTTTTATACATCTCTAAAATTGTTTTGTATTTCTCACGCATATGTTTTAAGCTTCGCATACTACATTTTCGCTGCAGCCTGTCGCTTCGTTGTAATATTTGTTACAAACTCGGCGCATGCTGTCAAATCTGGGTCTTCCATGAATACCAAATAGGAATGAATGAGTGGGTCTTCACCCGGGTACTTTCCAACAAGTACACTGTACTATTACTTCACTACTCAATTATTCCACGTAACTCGTTTGAACGAACGAGGATACGGTTTTGAGTGTCAATCATGAAAATATGTTGCGATTTGCTTGACTAGTATCACTCATGCAACAAAGTACATTATACACGCAAATATTTGGCAGCCAATTATAACTCTGAATTGCTGTAAATGAAAATTGCCCCGATAAAACGTTTATTCAAATATTTATTATTATCAAAGTATTACTTTTAGTCTATATATCACATTGTGAAACGAAATTAGTATACAAAAATTGTATACGTTTGCTCAAAGCAAGGAAGGTCCCGATCCACAACCAAAAGTATTGGTAAAGTGGTATACTAAAAGAGTTGCAACTGATAACTGAAGCTCTGAGAACAAGTTAAACATATAAAACCAAGGATGAATCGATTACCCCCTAAACTTTGCCGGTTCAGTGAGGTTTTATTTTCAATTCATAGGACATGACTGAGTTATGGAAGGTCGCAACTAGGGCTGCGCATTTTCGAATACCTTGTGATTTCAGAATCGAATCGAATAATTTTTTTCGAATCGAATCTCGAATACTTGAAAATATATAATTGTAAGCGACTTTATTATAGTAATTGGTCCTCTCAAAAATATGAATTACTGAAGACATAGAATAAATCACCCAGATAGATTACTGAGCGTTCACACACAATAAGAAACACGTTTTTTTCAATAACTCACTACAGAAAATAGTCATATGTTAGAATCTCGTTGAAAAAATATGACTCCGATGAAAAAAAAATTGGGGAGTTCACCTCGACCATTAGCGGAAAGATAAAAACAAGATGGCGGCGATTCGAAATTTAGCTCTGAACCGATTCGAATAATTTACTATTCGATTCGAATATTCGATTCGAAATGCCCAGCCCTAGTCGCAACCCCTTTTTCCGCGTCTATTCTACGTATATTCAGGTTACATGTACATATCTCAGTTGTGTTATCATAAAAAGTGGGCATACCATTGAAAAGAGCGCATGAGTTTTGTGTCTGCTTTTATTCATCTAATATGATTGCGTAAAGATTTCGTTGGTGTAATATTTTTGTTCAGAGATACACGTACTAAAGAATAATTACCATTGAATATAATTGGTTTTAGGAACATTTTTAGTCATTCTTTAAACTGTCCTCACAAAACGTTAGCCTATATTCAATTTTCCTCGCATTAATATTATATAACGATGTCAAATGAGTTCGCTTTCGTAAATTGAAACAACCGAAGCTACATTACAATGTAATAGCTTCGGGCCACATCACACAATATTGACCAGATTCTATATAATTTATCTCATGGCTGACTTTTTTTTAGCAAATGTATTTTTTTCTACGAAAAATATGCAATCCACGGTTGCTAATCTAACTTCTAAAATAGTATTGCACAGGGTATGTACCAAACGTTTCTGCTGCCCAGAGCGAGTTTCTGATTATGATTCCTGAATTCCGCGGCATCTCTTGTCCTGTTTTTATGACGCTATTACCGGTTTATCCATGAAGTCACGTACCAGAGTTTAGTTTATCATGCCAAATTATATATACTTAAACCTGAAACCTAACCCCAAATCAATCAAAACTGTATCCCTAAGGAATATTTTATAACTTACCCAAAGGGTGTCACCATCAGTGGCAGTCCTGCGAGCACAATTTCACCCCCCATAGTTTTCAATTTGCTAAAGTGCTACCACGCCCCACGCCATTTGTGTGTGGAAGCCAAAAAGTCAGCCGCCATGTTTTGGCCATAGCGGCCATGGTTTGGAAATCCCGCCATGGTTTTGCGGCAGCTTCAGACGCCACAGGGTGCTTAAAACTGCACTTGCCTCCTTGCCCACCCCTTCATTGCACACGCAAACGAGACTAAGGTTAATTATTATCGCAATTCCGATTAATACAATAAATTGAAGTAGTAAATATTATAATAAATAAAATGACGGCGGATAACGAAATTGGACACGAATTCTTTTTTTTTTATATCTTCAGTACGTACGATATTGCTTCCGTTGACAACTGGCATAACGTGAAATTATTTCGATACTCTATCGAAAATATCTTTACTACAGAAGTTTTTAAATGACGCAATGTACTGAAACCGAATTGCTGATGCATCTTTCGTTTTATTTTATATCGTTTCAATTTTTAAATGAGCTTGATAAGCAGCGTGGATTCCAACATTTTTAGGCCCTCCTGAACAATTCAAATTCGGTAGTCGTTTTATTGTTCACTTTCCGTTAGCGGATACGTATATTAGCAGAGAGATAAATTGACACAAAAGATAAGTAAGGTCAAATTTACTACTTATACCACCGTCTGACAATCTTAGTACTGTATTTCTCCATAATGACAACCGGAAATTTGGGTTGCGGATGGATCCACTCCTTTAAATATTTTTACAGTCTCGGCTCAGATATTCGCGAGAGCGTTTTTTCTTGTAAAGTTGTTCACATACTAAATAATCAACTCATTCTGACAAACACAATCAATTAGTATCAACAGTTCTCAATCAATCAACAGTTATATTGTAATCAAGGATATTGTTATCAGATGGTTTGTCCAATTGTTGCAAGTTGGTTTTCACTTTTGTAAGGTGCGTAAATTTGTAAACGCGACCCTTTGTGTGTAAACGGCGTCCTTTCTAGTTTCCCTCATAAAATTTTACAAGAAATAAACAATACATACGTTTCTTGGTAAGTTCAAAGAGAATATTTAAAGGCTAGCTGATACTGAGAGACGTGTAGGCGAGAGTGTTCTCTGCAAATGTAAGTGAATAGAAATAACTTTTTCGTGATCTGGTATTCAAGACGAAGCTGTTAAAATGTGGAGAATTTATTTCGTACTACCAAATCAGTAAATCTTATTTGGGAGGTACCGCTATATAGAAAGTTATCTTTGCCAAAGCGTGGCGAGTTTGTAAAGCTACAGCGAGTACTTGAAACCGGGAAACAAGCGATTAAATAGACGATTTTCGTTATTGGGAAATTGTATTTAAACGATAGAATTCATGGCGAATCCACGCAATGAAAGTTTTAACTAAGCAATATTAATGCATATACTGGTATATTACAATATTGCAGCCAATTATTACACCTGTTCGATGAAAATTGCAGTAGTGTATTTTCAAATCACAGAACGAAATTGATGAAATGCAGACGGTGTTGAAAAAAACATTGCAAAATTTGAGTGCAAAGAAACAAATAAAAAATTTATCGTAATACCAGGAATATTGTCCCAAACAAACAGAAAGTAAACATCCAAACCACACCGTTGATGTCTACCTCCAATACTCAATTTTGGTATGCCAATCCCGAAAGCAAGTTTTGCCATAAGTCATACAAAGATGAACTCCACATTCGATGCATTTCACCCGACTCCTCGAAACATACGTCTTTTCTCCTGAGTTTTCCAACTTGTTCTTTCTCGAACATACAGGGCAGACCACCTGATTCCGTTCGACTAATGGGATATGTTGTCCTACATTCATGAGTCTGGGATGATGGGATGAACTAGATAGCGATTCAGATATTCTCCGTGATGCTCTATAGCTACCAATAAGAGAGGCGACAAGCTCTTCCCTGAATCCAACACCACCACTCCATCGCTTCCCTGACAAGTTCTCACATATGACTCTTGCATTGTGAATTGCAACTTCGACCAAATACGAAAACACACGCCTGTACCATATCTTCGATCGTCTCGTCAAGTTGTAATATTTTCGCATTTGATCCGAAAGATCCACGCCCCCCATATGAGCGTTGTAATCTTTAAGTAAAGGTGGACACGTTATTTCTACAAATCTAGATGATCTCCTTCGCCCAGCTCTTCTTTTTACGGTCTTTTTCCCCACGTACTCTTTATCATATTCGGGTTTGTGAATTGTAGAAAGAAAGTATACCACCTTATTATCCACCCAGGATTGTGCTAATAATTGGCCCGAAACTCTCCAGTCGCTAGTGCCCCTTGGAACTGAACCAATTTTCGATACGATTATATCTTTCGGAAAGTTTATGAGATTGCTTCTGAAAGTTCCACAAGCGTATACACCTTTCGATAGGAGGTATTCGAAGAGTTCAGGCTAGTGTAAAAATTGTCAACATAAAGGTGATGGTATAAACCTTGGTAAGGCTCTATCAGATACCTTACGACACGTGAAGATAATCCGATTTCCGGTTTTGACGTTGGATCCTTACCAGTGTAAAATTGCAATCTCGACACATATCCAGTTGCGGACTCGGCTAATACCCAAACCTTGATTCCAAAACGTGCCCTCTTAGTTTTGATACATTGTCGAAAACTAATTCGGCCCTTGAATGGAATTAGGGTTTCGTCGATAGAGATTTCTCTTCCTGGTGTGTAACATGTTTGAAATAAAGGCAATAGAAATTGTCAACAGTGCGCGAATTTTGTATAACTTGTCTTTTTTGGGATCTTTCCGCTTCTGGCGCCATAGCCTCGTCGCAAAAATGCAAATAACGCCAAATCTCTCGAAATCGCCGTCTTGGCATTATTTTATTGAAACTTGGCACGTCTAAGATCCAATTTTCTCTTCTGCCAGTACATATCGATCGTTGGAAGACGAATAATTTCCCATAAGAATGACCAATCCAAGAAAAGCATGCATTTCCTCTGCATCAATAGCCTTCCAGGCCTTCTCTTCAGTGTCGCTATTGACGGACTCCGCTGTGAAATAGTTGTGTAAATATTGTTGAAAACTATTGCTATAGATGCTAATATATTATTTCAATTCTACAGAAGAGTCAGATTAGATACTCACCATGCAGTTTTCGAGTGGCATTGAGATTAGTCATCTCAACAATGAGCTCAATAACAGTTGCATTAAAGAATTGGGTGAAACAGTCAAGCACACTCGAACTGCTATTCAGGCGGCGACTCGAAACCCCCGTCTACCACCGAAATCCCGAAGTGATCTTCCGGCAAACGATTTTTCCCAATTGTAAGTTTTCCGAGACAATTGGAGTTGATGGGCGATACCGTTTCCTGCTTTTCGGCGTTGTGGGAGTTCTTGGCTTTCATGCGAAGTTCTACGCTTACGAATTGGTGGCAGTGAGGTACTTGGTGTTGCTGTGTTTGGGCTCCCTAAAAAGTTAAGCGGACTGTTTAGAGGTATTTTAGTGTATATGTGTTTTGTATCTCATAAAATATAAGACTAAATGTAATATTCAAAAAAGATACCGCTGATCGATAATGAGTGCCGCTGGCTCGATAACCAAATTTGGTTTCTCTGGCTCTTTCTCATCCTGAAATGCCTTTTAACTATTTATGCAATTTGTACATCAAGTGTGCTTTTGGTATGGTGAGAAAATAAACTACTGATTACGAAAATGATACATACATTTCGAGTCCTGCCTCGTCGTCAGTTCCAGACCAAGATGATTTCGTCTTCGTCAGAAATATCAGATCCATCAAAAATCGTCATAGTCAGAATCACTGTCCGCGTATGAATTCTTCATTTTCAATCTGCCATAACACGTCTTGATTATTCAAAACTGTACCCTGTTGAACCGCCATATAACCTGTTCGAGCTTTTCCCTAGTAAATATAAGCTTTACGATAAATAGGACAAGACCGTCACTTATCGGCGTCGTTCACATGACTGGCTTTTTGTAACGCAAATTCCCCCTTTCTCTCTCTCTCATTTTCTTGCACGCCACTCTCTCGAAAGTTTAGATGTTAACCCGTTTTCACCAGCGCTTGACACGAACTCAAACATTTTCCCGCCCGTTCAAATGGCGACAGAAGTGTTGAAAACCGGATGCCGTAGTGACCGAACGCTCTTTTAGCAAAGCAAAAGATAGGCAATTACTGCAAAACCAACAGTTTAATTATTGGTATACTCTCTTCGCCGTATCGTTACGAGGATTTTAACACTTTCGATGCCAAGGACGTATATATACGTCATTTGGCGCCAACCGTTCCGTGCCATCAATGCAAAATGACGTATATATACGTCATTCGAAAAGGAAAAAGTTTAATAGATAGAAGATGGTCGAGTTCAGGTATTTGCCGTCTTTTTCTTCTCTCTCTCTCTCTTGTTGTCAAGTTGGGGGAAAGAATGACGTCGTCAGCCAATCGCGTCATTCAAGAAATACCAAGATGGAAGGAGGGTCTGCCATGAAGTAAATTATCAACTTATTTAGCATGGCCGAGGTACATATTAGCCGCAAATTATCATCAAAAATTGTACGAGACCGACTGACGCCAACACACGGTTTTCAACTTTTTACGGTGAAATTGATTGAAGGTGTGAGGAGAGATGATAATATTACCAATCATGTTACGAAAGATGTAGAAAAACATTACTAAACCGGGAAATAATTCGAATATTTTTATATGCATGATCGTCGTCTTATTGGCAGGACGATGAAATGATTCAAAATGTTGGTATTTTTGAACGTTCTTTTAATTTTTTATCATTTTTGGGGTAACGGATTGACGGACATCTGCAACGAAAGCAAATTTTATCGTCCTGAGAGGTGAAATGTTACATTTTGAAATAATAAAGTAAGAAATTGATATTATTCGGAAACATATATTTTTCTACTTGTCAGTGAGATATGATCCGAGATATAGTAATTTAGTGGGAAATATATTACCAATAACACAGAGCCCCTCGTATGCTTTCAGCTCATATTGAATCACTTCCCGTAGCTATTGTATAACCATAATTATAGCAAAATATGCAATCCTACGACTTTGTGTCGGATGAACAAGTTCAATAAGCAGCCATGGCGTACTGATTACGTAGCTACGCAATAGCGATCACGTGTCTGGCGCACGAAGACGGGACTACGTGCAGTCGAGACGACTTGCGTAGCAAATTGCGTGAGATGACAATTTCGGAAATTCGTGTTCTGACAGATCAACTGACGAATTTCGATGAAAGCTTTAAACCTTTTTATTATGTCAACTTTAGAGACACGGATGCGTATAATGAATATTGAAATTGCATTTGGAAATACTTCATTTGCACGCCAATATTAGTTCAAATATCCACACAAATAAGTATTTGCCCGCTATAAATACCAGAATTGAATGAAATGTTTGCCGAGCAGTAAAGACTTCGAATTTCATCGTTTACTGACTGAACCCACCAAATCTGGAAGAGCCCGACCGAAAACTCAGGAGCAATACTAAGATACAAACGCACCTGAAATGTATTACGCATGTTTCGGTATTATCCGACCACATCAGTCGTAGGTGAAAGACTCACCACACATGCGTATCTTGTCGGAATTGCTCTCTCTATGCTATTTAACATAAGTTGGAGATAACTTGTTGATCTCTCATTGCGATAAAGATTCAATTCGAACATTTTATTCAGCAATCAGGAATCATTTTATTATACAAAAATATCAAATTCGAACAAAGAAAACAAAATCGTTTACTAGCATAAATAATATTATCCTTCATCGCTATATATTCAATAACATTAATAATGCCAATTATTGTCACTCACAAGGATAACATATTGCAAAATAAACAAAGTAGTTCACATTGCATATTCATACAACTGTAACACATATGTATCTCTATGACCTCGTCACCATTACAATACGTCGAAAGTATTGAAATCGGCCTCTTACTGCCATATATGTGCGAGTGATTCAACAACTGATACATTTTCAATGTAAAAATAGGATTATGGTAATCCAAACTTGGAACAACTTCCACCCGGCGTCACAAAAACTTCGAATTTAGTTTTGCAACTAATGGGAAAGTCATCTGGATAGAGGATATCACGTATTTGTTGATAGGTATGTGATTATTCGGTATTGATAAGACAAATTAGATAATTTACGTTCGGCGCCATACTGCTGTTCTATTTTAGATAACGAATCATTGTCGGATATATCAATCAATTGCAAAAACTGTTTTATCACAACCAATTTTTAATAATATTCATTTTTAATTTAGACTCTATAACTCTGTCGCATTAGCCGAGGAATTGCAGCGAAGGTAAACATCGATAACGGGAACAGTCATGGCAAACCGGAAGGGACTTCCAGCAGGAAATAAAAACAAAACTAAAGAAAGGGGAAATCATCTCACTACGAAAAACAATTACTCGCACTACTATGGCAAGGATAAGAGGCCGATTTTCAATACTTTCGACGTATTGTAATGGTGACGAGGTCATAGAGATACATATGTGTTACAGTTGTATGAATATGCAATGTGACTACTTTGTTTATTTTGCAATATGTTATCCTTGTGAGTGACAATAATTGGCCATTATTAATGTTATTGGAATATATAGCGAATGAAGGATATATTTTTTATGCTAGTAAACGATTTTGTTTTCTTTGTTCAAATTTGATATTTTCGTATAATAAAATGATTCTGATTGCCTGAATAAAATGTTCGAATTGAATCTTTATCGCAATGAGAGATCAAGACAAGTTATCAATCAACTTATGTTATAATAGCATGAGAGGAGCAATTCCGACAAGATACGCGTTGTGTAGGTGAGTTCTTTCACCTACGACTGAAGTGTCGGAATGAACGATAAACTGATGACAACCGCTGGGTTCGCCCCTTTCCCGATGAATCAAAACTAAATACGAGAGAGAATGAATAGGAGAGAACTCTCTCGTTTTCACCTTGGCACGGAACGGTGAAATTGAAAAAACTGATCTTGGCATCGAAAGTGTTAATACGTCGCACTACTAATTTCTCACTTATTATACACCATGTTGAAATTGTTTTGCATTTCTCGCGCGTAGTTTTTGAACTCCGCATACTACATTGCTGCTGCAGCCTGTCGCTTCATTGTAATATTTGTTACAAACACACGGCATGCCGCCATTAGGGTACTTCCTAAGAAGCACACTGTACTATTACTGCACAATTATTCGTTCAACGATACTCTCTAAACTTTGCCGGTTCAGTGCAGCTTAATCACAGTCTATAGGACATGACTGGAGAATCGTAACTCATTTGCTGTGTCTTCCCATATATATTATCAGGGTACATATTTTAGTCACCTAAAAGAAAGTAAAAGTTGAGTTGTGTTTTCATAAAAAATGGCATAACGATGGAAAGGGCACATTGAGCTTCCGTGTCTGGCATTTATTCATATGACATCATTGCGAATCGATTTCCTGTTGCTTTGTCGATATAATCAACACAGGCAAATTGAATCAGCCATCATATTGTCAAATCACATGAATATGTTTTGTGAATTGTGCAAATCGTATGTATACGATAGATAAGAGTATAGACGATAATACTAGTAATTGTTGTATTAGTTTTGTGCTGAGATACACAGAATGACTATTAAATAACAATGGTTTTTAGGTCATTCCATCATAAACAGTCTACACAAAACGTTAGCCTATATTCAATTTTCCCTACATTAATATTATATAAAGATGGCAAATGAGTTCGTTTGCGTAAATTAAAACAACCAAACCTACATTTACAATGTTATAGCTTCAGGCCACATCAAAAAATATTGACCAGTTTCTATATAATTTATCTCGATTTAATGCTTGATTGATTCACTTCGGGACATCGTCAATTTTTTTATATCTCACTTTTGTTTCGTGGTTGCAAAAAGAAGAGTTACCGCTGGGAGATGGATAACTTATCCCGCCACCGACATCGCTTTGAGAGCCGAATGCAGAGCTCTAGTTCAACCATTCTCAACACATGCAACCAAAACTGTGCCTCGTCCAAATATTAACAACTTAAAAATTCGTGTCATTGGTGTTATCAATACGAATATTGGCTGTTGAATACCTAGTTTGCCTATAGTTTAGGTTCCGATTTTGCATTATTCAAACTATCGCACGTTACGGCGGTCGAGAAATCTGAGGTTTTCTCACACTGTTTCAACAACAGTATACAGTATGTAAGAAACACTAATGATAGACATTTATAAACAACTGGTGCGCATTTCATTGACGTGTTTGTTTACTAGCTACTACTACAAACTTTTTGAGGACAGGTTTGGCTCAGACGAAGCAAAATCAGCCTGCTTTTATTATAATATTTTCTCAAAGGCGCCACACATTAAAAATGGTCATGCGTCAATGCGCGCACGATGCGTAACCATCGCCTTAGATGAGATAAGCACATTCAACTATATGCGCAAGAGATTTGCTAAATTAACAACGGAAACATTAGTGGGACAGAACGTTGTATACAGGCAACGAGGGCAGAATGGTAATTGGTAGTGTTAAGGATGTGATTTATAAATGTTAACAAACAGGGCTTTGGCGAATATCAATTTATATTGGCACATAATTATGTAGTATATATATATATATTATAGCAACCCATATCAGTTTCCACTAAGCACATTCTCACACTATTAACGCCTCTAATTAATGTAATGAAAAATAATATAAATATTACACCCAGTCGAATACTGATACCTTCAAAAACGGCTAGCGGTTTCTGAATATTTGATTAGTCCCGAAGTACTTGGGATAACTTTCTTATAAGTATGCAAATTTTTAGAATTTTCATGTTTAAACCGGTGGTTGGGGTTATCCAATCTTCCTGTCTACAATTTGTTGTTCATAGTTTTTTCAAGGCGGGAATTTTTTTTTATAGTAGCAGTGATTGCAAAAGTAACCATGGCAATGGCCATGAAATTGGTATTGCCCAGCAACTGCGGTATCGTTTGTGTTTTTAACGAACTGCGAGCTATACTTTTGAGAGAGCAAGAATGAAGACTGTTCGTCACACGACACGCCACCCCTTGTTTCCAGTGAATTGCATTAATATAGCAAAGCGAACGACAAATGACGATGTAAAAGTATAGGCTGCCCAAATTAAAAATAGTAACCGTTGTCAATCACAATTATTCTGATAGGAAATAAGATTATTATTATTAGCAAATCACAGACGATATAAAACAGTGGGTGAAAATCTATACAAAATTTAGAAAAAAAGACCGCATTAAACCATGAAAAAGCAACCACAACCTCAAAAATTTGCTCACAAAATGAACACAAAAGGGTAAACCGAAAAGAAAAATACTATATAATTTACTTTCTACCTCCAATACTCAACTTTGGTGTGCCAATCGCGAAAGCATGTTTTACCATCGCACACACAAAGGTGTACATTGCATTCGTCGCATTTCACGCGACTTCGTGACACGTACACTTGCTCGGGATCAGAAGCTACCTTGTTCTTTTTCTTGCACACAGGACAGACCGACCGAGTTTGTGTGGGCACTGGTAAATGACGTCCCCACATGGCCGAGTCTGGAAAGAGATGGAACAGACGTCGTTGCAGACGTGCGCCGCGGAGCTCTATAGTCACCAACAAGAGCGGTGATAAGCTCTTCCCTAAATTCCAACCCACTCAATCGCTTCTCTGATAGGTTTTCGCATACAACTCTTGCGCTTGTGAATCGCAACTTCGATTAAATATGAAAACACTCGCCTGTACCATACCTTCGATTTTCTTGTCAGGTTGTAGTATTTTCGCATTTGATCAGAGAGGTCTACGCCCCCATGTGAGCGTATGTAATCAGTAAGTAAGGGGGCACTGTATTTCTACCAACCCGGTTGCTCTTCCACGCCCAGCTCTTCTTTTCACGGTCTTTTATCCTCGTGTTCTTCATCATATTCAGGTCTGTGGATTGTAGAAAGAAAGTTATACCGCTTTATTATCTGCCCAGGATTGTGCTAGTAATTGTCCCGAAACCCTCCAAGTCGCTAGTGCCCCTTGGAACTGAACCCAATCTTTGGTATGGTTATCTCTTTCGGAAAGTTTAATATTATTGCTTCGGCAAGTTCCACAGGCGTATTACGCCTTTCGACAGAAGGTATTCGAAGAGTTCAGGGCTGGTGAAAAAATTGTCAACGTAAAGGTGGTGATTTTGGCCTTCGAAAGGCTCTATCAGATATCGTACGACACGAGAAGCTAATCTGATTTCTGGATTTGAGGTTGGATCCTTACCAGTGTAAATTGCAATCTTGACACATAACCAGTTGAGGATTCGGCTAATACCCAAACCTTAATTCCGAACGTGCCCTCTTAGTTTTATACATTGTCGAAAACTAATTCGGCCCCTTAAACGGGATTAGGGTTTCATCGATAGAGATTTCTCTTCCTGGTGTGTAGCCATGTTTCAAATAATGGCAATATGATATTTAACAGTCCGCGAATTTTGTATAACTTGTCTTTTTTGCGGGTCTTCCGCGTCTGGCGCAAAGCTTCGTCGCAAAAAATGCAAATTATGCCAAATTTCTCGAAATCGACTTCTTGGCATTATTTTATTGAAACTTGACACGTCTAAGATCCAGCTTTTCTTCTGCCAGTACATATCGATACTTGGAAGACCGGATGATCCCATAAGAATGACCAATCCAAGAAAAGCATACATCTCCACTGCATCAACGGCTTTCCAAGCCTTCTCTTCGGTGCAGTTATTGATAGATTGAGCTGTGAAATGATTGATAAGATTATAGGAATCATGTACTCTTAGTGAAATGTATCTATAGACTGTAGCGCGTCAACATGTGACTAGGTCGAAAAGTATATCGTGCATTATTGAACATAGTTAAATTTGATACTCACTGTGCAATTTTCGAGTAGCATTGAGGTTAGTCATCTCAACAATGAATCCAATCACACGTGTATTTACAAATTGAAGAAAACAGTCAAGCGCACTGGAATCGCTATTAAGGTGTCGATTGCACACCACTTGTTTGCCGCCGAAAGCCCGCAGTGATCTTCCGGCGAAGGACTTTTCCCAATTGTAAGTTTGCCTAGACCTCAGAGTTGACGGGCGACAACTTGTTCTGCTTATCGGTATTATGGGACTTTCTTGTCGTTTATGAGCAATTCGCCTTCGAATTTGTGGCGATGAGGTACTGGTTGGTGTGCTAAGGGTCCCTGTGAAGTCAGCGTAATCCAGTGTTAAATTTTAATGAAATTATTGAAAAAAAATATTATAAATTAAACGTACATTCTGATGACTGTTCGTTCTCAGCAGTAGACCAAAATACCTCTTCTTCTTCTTCTTCTTCAGAAAAATCAGATCCATCAAAATCGTCAATATCAGATTCACCGTCCGGTACAAATTCTTCATTTTCAATCTGCCACAACACGTCCTGTCCATCGCGAATCGCAACCTGTTGAGCCGCCATTACGTATTCGAACTCACGCTGGAATTTATAAATGACGATGTACATCGTAAGACTGTTGTGGATCGATGCGCGGATTTTTTTACCTCTCTCTCTCTTTTACGCCACTCTCTCGCAAAGTCAGACGTTAACCCTCTTTTTACCAGAACTTGACGAGAACACCAAAGGGGTCCCACTGATTTAGAAAAGCGACAGAAGTGTTAAATACCGAATGCCAGTAGTGACCGAACAGACTTATAGCAAACGGTAGGTCTTTTTTTATGACTAAACAACAACAAGAAACTGGAAATAAAAGAGTGGGTGCAACAGGGTTTAATATCGACAAGCACATTGATGCAGCTAGAGCCTAGGTGCTAGGCTATAGTTAACCTTACTCTAATTTTCCATTACAACGTAACTACATTTATATAATAAATTTGCGACACGGGAAAGTCATGCAACCAATCAGTGAATAGGATAAAATTGTGATGTGGCCGGAGATAATACACTGTAACTATCGATCGTAGAAAAAGTTTTTGAGGTTCTATTTTCGGAAACGAACTGATTTGACATCGGTATATACTATTAATTTCAAACGAATAGAAAATATATATAAAAAAATTTTTTTTTGCAAAACCATTCATAGAATGACAAAAATGTTCCTATATTCTATTATAATTAATCGTGATTCTTATCTGGAGGGTGTATATAAAAACATATACAGCCAGTTTCTAGTAATATAGCCATACCTGCGCTTCACGTTAACCTAATTAATGTGACGCGACAAGTTGAATCCTCACTCAATTTGCCTGTTTTGGTTATGTCGACGAAGCAACGGTATACGTTTCGCACCAATTGTATATGAAAAATACGTTCTCTAAAATTGTATGTTCCTTTTAATTTTACGCCTAAACTTTATCGCAAAAAAAAATCGAGTTTTACTTCCTTTTACGTGACTATGTATATCTAACATAAATTTACAATAAAACAGGCATCAAAGGGAGGAACGACTTTCCACAACTCATCCGCTTTCCTTAGATTGATAATAAAATTTCAGCAGCTCGATACCAAAAGTTTCTGTTCGAAATACAAAGCTTTATGACATTTTTTTCCTTCTCTCCCTGACAGTGTTGATTATTAAAATTGCTTCAGGTGTCGTGTCTACCGATATATAATGACATCTCTGCAGTGAACTTAACCTATATTTTATTTCTTGTAGCTTCCTTAATCCGCGCTCACGTAATCTTCTCTATTCTGCAACTATTTGAGTTTTTTTTTAATCTGGGGCAGGGATCGGGACCTTGCTTTCTCTGAGCAAACTAGTAACAATATTTTTTTTCCAAACCAGTTTAATAACTTCGATTCACGGATATGATATATGGACAAAAAGTGTTAATTTTAAAATTAATAAAAAACATTTTTTCGAGTCAAGCTACATTTAATGAAATGTTTGGCGATTCGAAGTTAAATGGTTAAGTGTTTACCTATACATACTGGTACTGAGTGATACAGCCAGCCAGCAAATACTAGCAATTTGATTGCAATGGGTGACTACAAAACGTTATCTTGATTTCGTTGAAACTATTGACGACGAGCATTAGAGTAGCAATAGTATAAAAATGTGATCGAGCTCATTTGTTAAGTGTAGATCATTTCAGTGTATGCTTAAAGATGTCTAATCTTCCTATGTAAGCTTTTTCTTTATTTTTGTTGTATTGGTCAAGGTGGTGTAGTTTTTGTATAGCAGTAACTACAAGGTTATCTACGCTCCCTACGGCATATCCAGGAGTACTGTACTTTCGGGCAATCGATCTATACCTTTTTGTAAGCTATATTTATGTCAGTCCAAGCAAGCTTGAACGGTTGACGGACTGTGTCTCATTCGATGCCACTCACGCACCTTGTTTTCTGTAAATGGCATTTATAAAGCACAGCAAATGAGAGGTAACGATGTAAAAGTGTATAGACTTAGTAAATTAAAATAGTACCGCTATCAATCACGAATATTTAATGGACATTAATAATAGCCAAATCAGATCACAGGCGATATAAAAACAGTGGGTAAGAAGACTGCACAAAATATAGTAAACAGAAACCATGAAAAAGCAATCGCAACATCGAAAATTTGTTCACAAAAAAAACACGAGGAACATACCGAGAAAAAAAATTATGTCATCAAATTCTACCTCCAATACTCAACTTTGGTGTGCCAATCGCGAAAGCATGTTTTGCCCTCACTCATACAAAGATGTACATTGCATTCGTCACATTTTACACGGCTTCTCGAAGCGAAGTTTATTTGCGGAGCATGTGCCATATTTTTCTTTTTAGAACATACAGGGCAAACCATCCTGATTGCTGTGTGTAATGGAAAGTGACGCCCTACATTGCAGAGTCTGGGAAGAGGTTGGGCAGACGTTGTTCGAGACGTTCGCTGTGAGGCTCTATAGCCACCAATAAGGCCGTGATAAGCTCTTCCCTAAATTCACACCCGTTCCGTCGCTTTCTTGATAGGTTTTCGCATACAACCTTGCGTTGTGAACCGCAACTTCGATCAAATACGAAAATATTCGCCTGTACCATACCTTCGATCTCTCGTCAAGTTGTAGTATTTTCGCATTTGATCTGAGAGGTCTACACCCCCCATGTGGCGTTATAATCACGAGTAAAGGAGACACGGTATTTCTACATCCGATGCTCTTCCACGGCCAGCTCTTCTTTTTACGGTCTTTTTCCTCGTGTTCTTCATATATTCGGGTTTGTGGATCGTAGAAAGAAAGTATACCACCTTATTGTCCACCCAGGATTGTGCTAATAATTGCCCGAAACCCTCCAGTCGTTAGTGCCCCTCGGAACTGAACCAATTTTTGATACGATTATATCTTTCGGAAAGTTTATGAGATTGCTTCTGAAAGTTCCACAAGCGTATACACCTTTCGATAGAAGGTATTCGAAGAGTTCGGGACTGGTGTAAAAATTGTCAACATAAAGGTGATGGTATAAACCTTCGTACGGCTCCATCAAATACCTTACGACACGTGAAGCTAATCCGGTTTCGGGTTTTGACATTGGATCCTTACCAGTGTAAAATTGCAATCTCGACACATATCCAGTTGAGGATTCGGCTAATACCCAAACCTTGATTCCGTAACGTGCTCTCTTGGTTTTTATAAATTGTCGAAAATTAATTCGGCCCTTGAATGGAATTAGGGTTTCATCGATAGAGATTTCTCTGCCTGGTGTGTAGCATGTTTGAAATAGTGGCAATAGGATTGTTAACAGTTCGCGAACTTTGTATAACTTGTCTTTGTTAGGGTCTTCCGCTCCTGGCGCCATAGCTTCGTCGCAAAAATGCAAATACCTCAAAATGTCTCGAAATCGCTGTCTTGTCATTATTTTATTGAAACTTGACACGTCTAAGATCCAGTTTTTTTTCTGCCAGTACATATCGAGTGTTGGAAGACGGATGATTCCCATGGCGATGACCATTCCAATGAAAGCATACATCTCCCCCGAATCAACGTTTCTCCAGGACTTCCCCTGGATATTGTTCTTGGCTAACTGTTCTGTGAAATGATTGGGAATGTAAATAAATGAATCTTATTTATATACCTTCCAGTGGATCGATAAGTAAATAAAAAAAGTTAGATACTCACCATCCATTTTTCGAGTAGCATTGAGATTAGTCATCTGGACAATGAATTCTATCACAGTTATATTGAAAAATTGAAGGAAGCAGTCTAGCGCACTAGAACTGCTATTCAATAGGCCACTGGACACCGACCGCTGACCTTCAAAAGGACGGTGTGACCTTTCGGCAAATGACTTGTTCCAATCATAAGTTTTCCGAGATCTTGGAGTTGACGGGCGGTAACCTTTCCTATTTGTCGGTGTTGTGGGACGATAACCTTTACTACTCAACGGTGTTGTGGGAGAGTTTTGGAGTTCGGGAGTAGTTTTACGCCTACGAGTTGGCGGCGACGAAATACTGGCTGATGTGCTAGGTGTCCCTGTGAAGTAAGTGTAATATTATGTCGTTACATCTCGAAAGAAATCGTCTTAAATAGTTAAAAAAAAATCACACGTACATTCTGAGTCTTCCTCGTTGTCAGTACTGGACTCTGATAACTCTTCATACTCAGAAACATCAGACGCATCTAAGTCGTCATCATCGGAATCACTATTCGGTATGAATTCCTCATTTTCAATCTGCCATAACACGTCTTGCCTATCTGAAATTCCAGATTGTAGACTCGCCATTATCCAAAACGAGACAACTTTTTCAGAGTTTCGATAAATATGGTCGAACTGGCTCTGAACGACGTGTTTATACATAACTGATATATTATAACGCTTCTCTTTTTCTTTCGTCGGGTGATACGTCACCGCTTCTCTCTCTTTTGTAAAGGGATATTAACCATTTTATCACCGTAACTCAACACGAACGCAAGTATTTAAGCACACGAGATAATGCAAAAAGGTGAATATTCAAGCGCTCATTGTGTTCGATCATCCGTTTACGCGGGAGATTTGTACATTATTTTACTGCGAAGCAGCAGCAAAAAATAATGGTTTTATTCAGCTAATTCAAGTCCACCATTATAGCATCTCAACAAATCTTCTACGCAGCGTTGTAGAAAGAATTTCGTAAGTAAATGTCATTTTAAGTGATCGTAGTAACGACAAAGCTACTTTCAAACCGCCAAAGGAATAAAACACACGAATATTGGTGTTCGGCAATACAATGCATCTTAAATTATTAAAACTTAAAAGGATCTATGGGCTATGACGAACGCTTTTTTTTTATTCTCACGGGTCGGGATCGTTTTTAGACCCAGTAAGTTGGCTGTTTTCTTCAATTATTGAGAACATCGTGATACTATGTCGTGGTTCATATGACATACCTTAATATTACTTTCAACATTTTAGCGAGATTGCGGCTTTGTATTTACCGTACATAGAATAGTAAACGAATTTAATCCGTATCACCGTAGCTGTTATTCAACCGGTATTGCGGTATTTTAATTTTATTACTATATTTTAATTCTTGTATTCACCTGTATTTATTCATTTGCTAGTGTAATTTGACCTTAACGATGTTTTGAGTATAAAACGTGGATAGATGCCTATGTTTTCGCGTGTAAGCCAATCGCGACATGCGTGATAATATAGCCAGTGGCCGGGTCTTTGACGAGAGTATATACAACAATAAAAAGAGTATGTCATATCAGGGGCGTAGCCAGAATTTTTCAAAGGGGGGTGAAGGGTTCTGAAATTTCTATTTGCCAGGTTAGATCGAAAGAACTTGCGGGCCCGACTGAACGCCTGAAAACGTGTGTGTTTCACGATTCTTGAGGGTCTAAAAAGCATTTCAAGCTACGAAAAATTGCTATGTATCACACAGGAAGTTGCTGTTATTTTTTACATTTCAACCCCCATTTTTTTACATTTCCAACTTCCAATACCACGTCCCTGTGTCATATCATGCACCGGAAATTATGGAACATAGTATCGTATTGAATCGCTGAGGAACATTTGTCATTTGACCAAATGCATCTGTTGGCCTGTACACGTGCGTCCAGTAATTTCTGGTAAACCTCTTTAAAACATGCTAGCTCTTTATCTATGCCCTGTAAGTTATTCTGTCGCTACACACATACTGTCTGCATAACGTTCGAACACCCACAAAAAGTTGAATAAAAAATTCATAGTATTTTCAAATCACTGAGTGACGATATAAAAAACAGTGGCGGTAAAATAACTACACGAATTAAATAGAACCGTCGTAGAATGAAAATTCTCGTTTAAAATATCCACAATGCATGCATGAAATGGCAAGTAAAAATGCAACAGTAATTTCTATCTCCAATACTCAATTTTGGTGTGCCAATCGCGAAAGCAATTTTTTCCATCGCTGACACATAGATGAACATTGCATTCACCACATCTCACGCGGCTTCTCGAAGGAGTCGTCCTTTCGGCAGCAGGGGCCATTTTGTTCTTTTTAGAACATACAGGGCATACTAACCGAGTTTGTGTGGGCAATGGGAAATGGCGACCCACATTGCAGAGTCTGGGGAGAGATGGAACGGACGTATTATGAGAGGTTCGCCGGGAAGCTCTGTAGCTACCAATAAGGGAGGTAATGAGCTCTTCTCTAAATTGATAACCATCCCATCGCTTCCCTGATACGTTTTGATATATAACTCTAGCGTTGTGAATTGCAACTTCGATTAAATACGAAAATACTCGCCTATACCAAATATTTGATCGTCTTGTCATGTTGTAGTATTTTCTAATTTGACACGAAAGTTCCGCGCCCCCATGTGAGTCATGTAATCACAAACAACAGGGGGCACGGCACCTCCACTGATCCGAGTTTTTGCCCACGTCCACGCTTTCGTTTCACTGTTTTCTTGCCTGCGTGCGCCATTTCATACTCGGGTTCGTGGATTGAAGAAAGAAAATATAACGCTCCATTATCAACCCAAGATTGTGCCAATAATTGTCCCGAAGTCCTCCAGTCGCTAGTTCCTCTCGCTAATTCACCAGTGCTCTTAGCGATTATGTCTTTCGGAAAAAATATAGAATTGCTTCTAAACAGTCCACAGGCATATACACCTTTTGAAAGAAGATCTTCGAAGAGTTCAAGGTTGGTGTATAGATGGTTAACGTAGAGGTGGTGATATAAGCCTTCGAAAGGTTGTATCAGATAACTTACGACATTTGAAGGTAAGCTTAGTTCTGAATTTGAGGTTGGATCTTACCAGAATAAAATTGCAATCTCGATACATATCCAGTCGAGGATTCGGTTAATGCCCAAACCTTGATTCCAAAACGCGCTCGCTTAGATTCTGTAACTTGTCGAAAACAGATTTGACCCTTGAAGGGAATCAGGGTTTCAGTGATAGAAATTTCTTTACCTGGGGTATAGGAGTTTTGGAATAAAGGCAATATGAGCGATAGCAGTCCTCGAATTTTATGCAACTTGTCTTTGTTGGCGTCTTCCGCACTTGGTGCCAACGTTTCGTCGCAAAAATGTAAATAACGCCAAATGTCTCGAAATCGTTTTCTTGACATAACTTCATTAAAACTCGGTACATCTAGGATCCAATTTTTCTTCTGCCAATATATATCGACTGTTGGAAGACGTATGATTCCCATAAGGATGACCAATCCTATGAAAGCATACATCTCCTCCGCGTCAACGTGCTTCCAAGCTTTCTCCTTGGTGTTGTTTTTGATGGACTCCTCTGTGAAATAATTGGGAAATGTAGATGAACCAACTTTTTTTCGTGCAAACTATCAATGATATGTATCTATATAGCTGTTAATGGATCGATAAATATTACATTTGCAGAAAATTAACAGATTAGACACCCACCATGTAGTTTTGTAGTAGCATTGAGATTGGTCATTTGAACAATGAACTCAATCACAGTCGTATTAAAAAATTGTAGAAAACAGTCAAGTGCACTCGAACTGCTATTTAAGTGACGACTGGACACAGACCGCTTACCGCCGAAAGCCGATGGAGAACTTCCGGCGAATGACTTTTCCCAATTGTAAGTTTTCCGAGATCTAGTAGTTGATAGGCGATAACTTTTCCTGCTTCTTCGTGTTGTGAGAATTCTACGCCTTCGAATCGGTGGCGATGAGGTACTGGCTGAAGTGCTAGGTGTACCTTAAAGGTAAATATAATAAAAATATTCCAATGTTAGATTTCAATAGAATTCTCCAGTTAGAACAGTGGTTTTCGACGTTTTTATTCATTCCCAATACTTCTCGTTTTTTTGGTAGAAAACATTATATATATATACAATTTTCGCAAATTATCTGTTGTATTTTTTAACATTCGCTGGTAGCTATTTGGTTATACGTCACTACGCATGAAACTTTCGATGTTGTTAAATGTTCCATGTGCCATTATCTAGTTATACTTGCACCTTGCACTTACAGACCCAAGACTTTTGTGAAGTATAAATATTTCTCAATGTGTGCATACATACGTATTACGATAATCAATGAGCATATATACAATGAGTGGAAACTTGCAAAGATTTGCTCATTGTGGCATTGTTCCCTGCATTTTACGTCGTCCAGCAAAATGGTTCGTTGCATATTAAGAAAACGCATTGGTCGCTGCCAAAATCCCTTGCTTCAGCCGAGTCGGGTGCGAAATTGGCCGTATTAACTTGACTTGAGGTCTCTAATTCTTCAATACATATTTGGTTTTGGGTTTCGAAGTATGGTACGTTGAAAGCATACAACTATGAGCATATGCTTATTGGGAATGCATATCTATTAGACAGAAAACGTATCTACAGAACAGAATATGAACCAGTCGCCGAGAGGAGTGCGGTTATTTATGTATTTATTAATTGATATAACATGGGATTTACATATTTATCCAAGGGGAGAAGAAAGCCGAAAAGAAGGCCTGAATATATGGCGAACGACGGCCTCTCTCAATCATAGCTCTGTGCTCCATATGAATCACATGGCTCTGCGGACTGCGAGCTATTCGTTTACTTATTAAAAATACTGATTTTAACTATAAATTACTCTGGGATATCTTGCCATTGAAAACAAAAGCCAGAAATTGGAAGGAAAGCAGGGAATGAAATGTGTGTATTATGTAATGGAGAACCTGAGTTTGTTTCACATATTTTCATGTATTGTAAATTTACAAAAAATATTTATGAAGATTTTGTTTTAGATATATTAAAATTGATCAGAATACATTTCGTTATCAATATGATTCTTGCATATTATTTAATTTTAACGATCCTTTATATAGTCGTATAGATACTGTTGATTTGGATGCAATTATACTTTTGTAATCAATAGTGAGAAATATTTCATGACTGCTATTAACTATGTGAGCTATTTTTTCTGCAATGCAAAATATTTCCTTCGTCTGCTATTTACTATGTGAATTAATTTTTCTGTAATGTAAGTATTTCCATAACTGCTTTTACTATGTGGGCTGTTTTTTCGGTACCTGTAGTATGTGTAGCAGGTTAGGTTACGATTCTTCTTATTTTTGTTCTATTAAAAGTTCGGGAATTGTCTGTGTTACACAAGTGAATATCCCCCTACCGATAGAATTTAGTCCATTTACACAACTTGATATAAAGTAGGCGAACAAAATTAGTTACCTTCATATTGGTACACATACTTCTGGAGCACCATTTTTTTTGTAATGTAAAATATTTAATATGTGAACTAATTTTACTAATTTTTCTGTAATGCAAAATATTTTCTACAGCTTCTGTATTTTTTATATGTCACTTTTCATTTCATCGATAATACACATTGTTCATTCTTTGTGAAGTTTTTGGTAAATTTACAGATGGAATAAGACCGACATTCAGCTTTTTCTGTTTCACAACTGTAATACAAAAAGGTACTCTTGAAGAATGTAAACCCAGTTGGTAGACACCGGAACCATGTGTACCAGTTTAGGGTCTACTACATACAAACATTCCCAAACTTTTCAAGCCGCACCCTCTTTTTAGAATTGTGAAGTCTTGCGCCCCACCTCAAAAATAATTAGCTAACAATAATAAGCTACAAATAACAGTAGTAAGGCGTAAGTATGTTTTATTGGAAAACATGTGGAAAATACATGAATGGAACAAAATAAATGACAAGTTTTGATATGCATAAAATTAGCCAAGTCCAGAAGTCAGTATTTTAAACTAATAGAGAGAGAGAGAGTTTATTTCGTTCGTCAAACCATGAACATATATAAATTATAATAAAAAAAAACAGATGCTCAGGTGTATGACTGGGAGACAACGTTACAACATTTCGGGTCATTTAACAGGTTCGGTGTTAAATTCTTCAATACCTCTCATATACCGGTACCTTATTCACTATATACATTATTCACAAGAATTTTTGATTTGGAAAGTACTAAATAATCATGTTTTGTCCTAAGATCATCATTTATTCAGCTGATAAGTTGACATGTATTGCATATCAACTGCATAAAAATGGGTTAGCGAGGATACCTATTATTTGGAAAATTTGTCTGTAACTTCTGATGTCTTTGCTTTCTTATTAAGCGAATTAGATAAGTATCTGACTCCAAAAACAGAATATATAGTAGGTTACGTGTTCAATTTGAGATATCTGTTAATTTTATATATATAATTTTATATATATGTAACTTCTGCTGACTTTGCTTTCTAATTGAGCGAATTAGATAAGTATCTGACTCCAAAAACAGAATATATAGTAGGTTACGTGTTCAATTTGAGATATCTGTTAATTTTATATAACAGTAAGGATCTGACCCATTTGCCTGTAAAGATTTTTATTTCCACAGATAATATATCACAATAAATTGACTTACAATAAAACACACTCACAATCGTGAAAACCAAGTCGGTGATGAATTAGCATTGTTGCATCGAAATTGAAATAGAAAAGCCGGTTGCTGTATCGAACGAATAGAAAAGCCGGTTGCTGTATCGAACGAATTGAAATAGAAAAGCCGGTTGCTGTGAATCGAATTGAAATAGAAAAGCCGGGCTGCTGTATCGAACGAATTGTAGTAGAAAAGCCGGGCAAACCACGATCAAAATGTCTATTTAAACGGTAACATCTTTTTCATCTCGCTCGCCAAAAACGGTACCTTTCTTTATTATCCAAAAATCTCGTTTCCCACGGAGCAATTTTTGCTCATATCTAGAATGTTCGGTACCCTTCTTACAATAATTACACTTGTTTATAGGTTACCTGACATGGGAAATATCCATTTTCTCATACACGAGAAAGATCTAGACTCAATATTTCGAATGATCTAGAAAGATCTCTTCAATATTTCGGTTGTTTATGGGTCACCGACCATGGGAAAAATATCCATTTCTACATACACGAGAAAGACTAGAAAGATCTCTTCAATATTTCGATTACGTCAATTATTATATAGAATTTGACTTCCATTATCCAAATTAATGGTTAATTTTGTTACACATTCCTGGCACCACCACAAGTGAAATATTTTAAAAGCACATATTAAAAATTAAACCGATAATTGTAGAAAATATAAGAATGAACTCGAAATTATCATGACAGTAATCAAATCTCGTAACTTTTGAAGATGGCAATTTGAAATGTCAAAGTAATTTGTTTGAAAACTGTCGGATGAAGAGCAAAACATCCACTACGAAAGCAAGAAAATGGCAACACACGACCAAGACAAATCCTATTGGAATTAAATGGCAATTGAAAGATTTACATACAAGAAGAAAAACATGAAATTTGAGCACTAATTATACATGCAAGAATTAAAAACATACAACTTAAGAACTCATTGTAGCCCCATTTATTATGATTCTGACTTGGGGTCTTTTCAAATTATAAGGATGAGACATTTGTATTGTGAAAGGCATTTGAATTGTGCAATTCAGTGAAACAGTAATGGTATTATTATACCTTCTTCTCACCTACACGACTTTCAAAATTGTGAGCACTTGTTTAATGTACGATTTACTATTAGATAAATTAGGCGATAATGACTTTAAAAAATGAAGAAAGATGGTTTATTGATTCCCAAAAACAAAAAAAATCTTGCAATATGACTGTATTGTAGGTCTTTACGTTATCAGTGTTAAACCTTATTAAACATAAGGCTTTTTGGTAGGTCGTTACGTTTCAGTGATTGCAACTAGGTAGGTCTTTACGTTTCAGTGATTGCCAACTAGTATTGTTACTACTCATTCTACATTTAATTGTCTGTACCATTTGCAATAAAATTGGGGGGGGGGAAGATTTAGATGTAAAACACAATAATTTGTCATGAAATTTGAAAAATACAACAAATAGACGAGCGTTGTAAAACCAATAAAAGAATGCAACAATAAAATTAATTTTGAGACATCGGTACCGTGATATTTCCTATTAATCTCATAAATTCAATAAACTGCAGAAAGAATTAAGATAACTTTTGTGAAAACTTTGTGCACTTTATTTGGAGATAAAACTTGGTGGAGAAAACAAAAAAAAATGATTGGAGTACTCCATTTGGGGAATCATTGGTTGAAAAAAATGATTGAGGGAAAAAAAATAAGGCTTAAAAACTTGTGAGCCTTTGGATCCAAAAAAAAAAAATGTTAAAAAAAGGTATTTATTTCTTGATTATAATTTCTTGATTATGTAACCTGTCATTGTCTTTTATCAGGTCATAAGTTTTGTTTATCGCCGCGAGCGCTATAAATTTTTATTTATTCGCTTCCGCTATCCGACACGAGATTTAAGACCTCGACTTTCCACCATTGCTTCTGAGGTGTTGCATAGCATTGGCCCTCTCGTTTGCTGGGGGAGCTCTTTGGCACCGGTGCCATAGGACGAGCTGTGGATGATTTGGCCGATGGGGGTTCGGCTTCTGGCTCCGCCACGGGACGACCAGAGCGGTCCCATCTATCCTTACTGGGGTACGCGTGACTCTCGGTTGGTGGTGGACATGCGTACCTCTGGAATGATTTCCGTTCGGTTCACGGGAGCGGGTACGTCGATATCTGGGGCCTTCCTGTTCTCTCGGAGTGCTTGTACGTCTGTCGGAGAGAGGGACGCCCCCCAAGATTCTATCCCTTTATTCTTCTCCGACAGAATTCGGATTCCACTTCCAGCCAAAGTTACAGTCCTGCCGTAGCAAAAATAATAGACAGAATT